AAGACCTACTTGATACCAGAAAATCAAGGCCACTGGTCACTGGAAGAGAGACACCCCCAGCCTTAAGGCTTAGCTCAGGGAGAAGCTGGAAAGTTTCAGCCATGGAGGGGAAGTATCAAGCCTTTCTTTACCCTTGTGGATGTTCTTGTCCACCGGTAGTGCCCCTTCCATTTGAGGGCATCCCTGCTTTAAAGCACTGGACTAACCTGGCCAAAGAAGGTCCCCTGAGCTCCTCAGCCCAGCAGGAGCTCCTGCTAGAACTTCATTTCTGATATGCTGCCTCCAGGGAAGCACTGGACATCACATAAGAGCAGACATCAGCCCATGCTAGTCCACACCCTACGTGCAGAACTGGCTCTCCCGAGTCTCCGTGGACACGGGAGGGAAGCACCTCGTGTCACCACGGTCCAGTGCTGATGGAGGAACTGTTCTCCAAGTTTGCAGATGAGGAAACAGGATCAGGAGCTAAAATCTCACAGCTAGTAAAGGACAGGCCCAAGACTCGAGCCTGAGTCTGTCCGAGGCTGCTGCACAGTCCCAGTGACCTGAGCTCCAGCTTTCACTAGGGGCACCACCTTTCCTAAGTGTCAAATCCACCACAGAAAGACAATCGTCTCTAGACCAAGAGTAAAAGGGAGACTGTAACTCAGGAAGCCCCTGGGCCTCCCTGAGTCCCAGATTTGAGACTGATGGCAGGCTAAGCTGTGGTAATGACTATGGATTTGGCATCTCCAGCCAGTCACGTGGCCCTTCTGCTGGAGAGGACTCGCCCCGCTTCTTCAGGACCCACTATCCACAGGTGGCATCCTCCCAACTCCATCCTGCAGGTGAACTCCTACCCAGCAGCTTTCCTTAAGGAGAACTTCCCCAAGGAGCTTTCTACCAAGGTGGCTCCCTACATGTCTCCGGGCTCACCTCTGACCTATCCCCAGGTCCAGGTATCAGACGCCTCATGTAGTACCAAGACATGCAGAAGACTTTGGGGAAGAAGATATGAATTTTGCATGCCAAAGTCTTGTTGACCCCAGACTAGGACAGGTGTGAAGGACAACAGATGTGGTCCAGCTTGAAAGAAGCTGGGGAAAGAGAGAACAGTGGGACTTAAGTCAGACTGTGTTTCAGAGAGTGAGTTTATCTCACTACATTCTAAATGATTGGCATCCTCTCTGCCAGGTCCACCTGCCTGGGGCATTGTATGTCTTCGTGGAAGGGGAAGCAGGTGCTACCTACACCCCCTACTCTATTTCCACTCTGGACAGGCTCAACTCTGAAGTGACAGGAAAGGCAGGTCACTTACGCTGGCCAACTTGGGTACAGGCGTTTCCCCTAACCTCAGGCACTGACACCATGGAGTGGGAAAGTAATGCAAAGTGCATATGCAACTACACAAATGTATTTCCTTCCCTGGGAGGAGCAAGGGTGTACAGGAGTACAGGCCAGGTGAGCGGTACCCAGAAGTGGTCTTCAACCACACATCTCCTCTTCATGAAGGAGCATCATTCCTTGCAGCACAAATGTGTCCCAAACTCCACCTCCAAAGACCATCAGCACCCAAAGTGAAGAGAACCAGACTTTGAGAAGCCCTGCCTCTATGTTCTCTTTATTTGATCCATTCCAGTTTTCTTCACAAGGCCATTATTACTGCGGAAGAGAAGTCACTTCAGGGTAACCCAGAGAGAAGTAAATGCAGTACAGTTCTGACTGAGATCCTTGTTAACATCCTACTGTGTCCTTGGTTTCCCATCCATCTTGGAAGTAGAAGAATGAAAATCATCCCATAATTCTGCCTCTTTTGCGCCTCTCTTGAGTTCTCTCAGGGTCTGATCAGCATACTTATATCTGAGTTTAGTAACTCCTTGATGCCTTTTTTCCCTACATCATAGATTCTCTTCAGTCAATAATGTCTAATTACTATTCCCCATGTTTTATAGCTAATATTTTCATCTTCCCTATAAAAAGACCCCATTTGTGATTTCCCCCCATCTAATTATATTTTATTTCTTTTCCCCTTGCATTATTTTATCACAGTCCCTACAAAATTATAATTTCTTTTACTAAATTTATAAAGTTTCCTCTGCTTTACTACTTTTTCCAAAGGGTGTCATTCTCTTTCAACCACTCTCTTTCAATCACTAGAAACACCTTTGGACTACTTCCCACTGTGCCATGTGCCTCCTTCCACTTTGAAATTTATTGGTTGCTCTAATTATATTCTCAGAACAGGCACCAACCACATTGATGCTGTGATCCCCACAGGCCACCACTAAAGGCCACTCTAACTCACCCTCAAGTGGGAGTTCAGCTATGGGGGGTCTGTTCTATCCATCCCTCTAAACCAGGGATTTTCAACCTTTTTCATCTCATGGCACACATAAACTAAATTCTGCAACACACCGAAAAATATATTATATTGTCTATTTGACACAAAAAAAATAGGTATAATTTTGATTCATTCACACCAGACAGCTATTGTTGTTGGCTGTTGTCATTTGACAATCTAAGGGAAAAGATTCGTGCCCCTGACTAAATAGTTAGAAATTGCATGTTTTAAAAATTCTTGTGGCACACAGATTGAAAATCACTGCTCTAAGCCAAGAGAATCGCAAGTTAAGTTATGCCTGCGTGCTAATTGCACCAGTCCTGAGTGATCTAAGAATTGTTTCTGAGTCACTACTCCATCCAGTAGAGATGGGAACAGGGCTTCTCTGCCCCACAAAGGTCCTGAAATACAGCTGCATATCCCTGATAACTGCATTCAGAACCACACTGTATGTTCCATGACCAACACCTGACATGAGACCCTCCACAGCCCTGTCAGCCTGTCCTGGCCGAGGTGCCCATACTTCTATCCAATTAGGAATAGCATCAGCCACTTTGCTCCAGTCACGGAAAATAATGCAAGGGCCAAACACACCAACTATCAGGTCCTCCTCTAAGAACAGACTAGAACTGTACAGAGGAAGCCTCTCCTCTAGATCTAATTAATGATCAAGCTCATGATTCATAGCCCAACCTCACACCCTGGATCTTCCTTGGTAATCAATCCTATGTAATAAAAGCCCAGTGACCAAACGGCGGAATGACCAGAACGACCAGTCGATTAGTCGCTATGACACACATTGACCACCAGGGGGCAGATGCTCAACACAGGAGCTGCCCCCTGGTAGTCAGTGTGTTACCACAGTGGGAGCGCCCGTGGGTTGACCAGGATGAGCGGCTGCTCCGGCTGCGAACCCGGGGCCTACAGGCAGGAACCCAGGCTGCGACTGCCTCCTCACTCCAGGCTCCTCCTCCTTGCTCCCTGCCACCTCCTCCAGACACCCACAGGCCGCACAGAGCCACCGCCAGGCTCACAGAGTTGACCCTGGAGGCGGGTTCGTGGCTGCTGCAGGACTGAGGCCTACTCCGCTGCCTCTCAGTGCTATTGTCCCTGGGCCCGGCCTGACCTGGTCCCCTGGAGAGGCGAGTGCTCTGGCTCCATGGAAGATGCCGGACCAGGGAGCAGCTGCTCAGAGTGCGGGTCCACAGCCAGGGGATGAGAGGCACTCCCACAGCGGGCCTATCCCTGCAGGCCACACACCCCAACAGTGCAGGAATTCTGTGCACCGGGCCTCTAGTATGGTATATTGATTAAAAATCCAAGCTCCACGCTTTACTAATCATGAGATAGAGGATAAGTCACTTATTTTCTAGCAAAGAATAACTCAGCCATAAATAAAGGGGAATATTTTTATTCATATATTGGCATGTACAGATTGAACTCACTGAACATAAATAGAATATGAAATGGAAACTGGTCACAGTCTGCAGACAGTATTGCTTTCCTTCCCCACTCCCCCTTTTTTTTTTAATTGAGGTATAATTGACATATAACATTATATGAGTTTCAAGTGTACAGGATAAAATTTGATATTTGTATGTATTGCAAAATAATCACTACAATAAGTCTAATTTAAATTCATCACCATACAGTTACAAATATTTTTATGATGATATTTTAAGATTTACTTTTAGCAACTTTCAAATACGCAATACAGCATTATTAACTTGAGTCACTGTGCTGTCACATTCCATGACTTATTTATTTTAAAACTCAAAGTCTGTACCTTTTGATCCTCTCACCCATTCCTCCCCCTTCTTGTCCCCAACCTCAAGCAACCACCAATCTGTTCTCTGTATCTATGAGCTCATTTGGGGGGGTACTTTTTTAGATTCACATATAAGTGAGATCACACCTATCTTTCTCTTATTTAACTTAAAATACTGCTCTTAAGGCCCATCATGTTGTCATGAATTGCAAGATTTCCTTCTTTTTTATGCCTAAATAATATTCCATTGTGTGCACAGTAATAAGCCTCATTATGATGTTTTGAGGAACAATGGACTGATCACATATACAACAGTGGACCCATAAGCTCACAGTGGAGCTAAAAAAGTTCCTATCATCTGGGGAGTCATCCATCCTAACATTGTAGCACAATGCGTTATCCACAGGTGTGTGGTGATGCTGGTGTAAACAAACTACTGTCATATAAAAGTGTATATAATTATGCACAGTACAAAATACTTGATAATGATAATAAATAATTGTTACTGGCTCATGTATTTATTATGCTATACTTTTATTGCTATTCTGTAATCCTCACCTGAGAATATGTTTTCATTGATTTTAGAGAGAAAGATGGATGTGGGAGAGAAATATTGATGGGTTGCCTCCTGTACCTGCCCCAACCAAGGATCAAACCTGCAACCTATGTATGTGCCCTGACCAGAAATTGAACCCACAACCCTTTTGGTGTATGGGACAACACTCTTTCTATGTATAAAAATAAGTTTGCTGCCCTAGCTGGCTTGGCTCAGTGGATAGAGTGTCGGCCTGTGGACTGAAGGGTCCTGGGTTCGATTCTGGCCAAGGGCACATGCCTGGGTTGCAGGCTCGATCCCCAGTTAGGGGGGGGGGCGGGGGGTACAGGAGGCAGCCTATCAGTGATTCTCTCTTATCATTGATGTTTCTATCTCTCTCTCCTTCTCCTTTCCTCTCTGAAATCAATAAAGAAATATATTTGTTTAAAAAATAAGTTAGCTGAAAAACAGCATGTGGAGTTACACTAGCAGCAGCCTAGCCTGTTGACTGTATTTCTTGATATCATTTTCTCTTCTGCTTGATTTGGTCTCATATTGTTTTATGATTTTAGTGTAGCCTGACTGTACAGGAGCAATAGGCTACTAGTATACCATCTAGGTTTGTGTAAGTATAATCAATGATGTTAACACAACAACGAAATTGCCTAACAATATATTTCTCGGAATGTATCCCCTTTGTTAAGTGGTGCATGACTGTGTGTGTATGAGTGTATCACATTTTCTTTATCCACTCATCCATCGATGACATTTAAGTTGATTCCATGTCTTTGCTATTGCAAGTAATGGTGCAATGAAGATGGAGGTACAGATAACTTTTCAAGTTCGAATATTCCTTTCCTCTAGATAAATACCCAGAAGTAAAATTGCTGCATACTGTAGTTCCATTTTTAATTTTTTTGGAACTTCCATACTGTTTCTGTAATGGCTGCGCCCATTTATATTCCCACCGACAGTACCCAAGTCTTCCCTTTTCACCACATCCTTGCCACTACGTTTTATTTCTTGTCTTTTTGATAGTAGGCATTCCAAGAGGCGTGAGGTGATGTCTCATTGTTTTGATTTGCATCTCCCTGATGATTAATGATGTTGAGCACCTTTTTATATCCCTGCTGGCCAATTGTCTATCTTCTTTGGGAAGCGTTGCTTTTTCCTTTTCTTGAAAAGAGATGATTGGCTGGAGGCTATCCAGGAGGGCAACTTGAATGGTCTGCTCTTGAGCAAGCTGTGGCAGTCATCAGGAAAGGTAATGTCAGTTACTTACACGTTCTCTGAGAAAGCTTGTGGTTTCTGCTATCTGTCACTGTGTAAGAACTGCCAGTCTTCCAGTGCTCCTCCATCTGAATACATCATGAATGCACCTTAGTGAAAGCACCGAGTTACAATTCTTCAGTCTCTTCTTGTGGTAGTGGTTTGAATCTTCTGAGAAGCAGCTTTCTAGATGTGTTAGAAATAGGAGAGCGTTACTGGGAGTAGTGCCTATGAAAGAAGGCACAGAAGTAGGTGAGGAAAGTCTTTAGATCATGATGTAGATCTGGTATCTGTGAAGGGAGGAGGGAGAAAGGATTGGGAAGCAAGAGTTTCATACTATAGTGCAACTCTGAGAAAGTCTCAGCCACTACAACAGAGAGCTCCAAAGACTCCTGCTTTGTTCAGACACTGGCTGGGCCTCCTTGGGGTGAGGATAGCAGCAGATTCCTAAGCTGGCACAGGTAGAACATGTTACCAGTGCACACTTCATAGCAGACTTTCAGCAGCACAGCTCCAGAGCAACCACACCTTTTAGTCAAAACTCAGCTTCCTGAGGAGCTGTATCAGTTAATCAGAAGGTACTGTGATACTCCACAGGGTGTATCATTTTTGCATGTTTCTCTTTTATTATAGTGATATCATTAGGCCAAATGATACACCCTGTGGAGGTGTATGTGAAGGTACCTCACCAATTTTGCTGTATAACAAGCCAGTCTGAAACAGCGGCTTTTAAAAAATAAATATTTATCTCTCACACATTTGAGAGTTGACCCTGTTGATGTGATGATCTCAGCTAGATTTGTTCACATGTCTAGGAACTGGATGGCTGTCATCTAATCTATAGCTGGTTCTCAAAAACACATGGTTTTGGTCAATGTCCTCCCATTATGTTGATGAGATGCCATAGGAACTTAACTCTTGTTTATATCAATTAGCCTATAGTAAAATTAGCTTCATGATACGTCGTTTTGTTTAAAGTTGCAGAACCTAGGGATGACGTTAGGTGAGGTCTTACTGTAGACTGGCCTCCTCTAGAGCAACTAGCGCTGGCTTCAGTGTCTCTCATCTTCCCGCAGGCTAGCCTGGAAGTGTCCTCCTCTCACTAATGTCTGAAGCACAAAAGAAAGCAAATGGAAATACACAAGGCCTCTTTCACTTCTGTCTCATTCTATTGGCCAATGCAAGTCACAAGGTTGACCCCAGTGTTAAGGGGCAGCCCATGATTGGAGGGCACTGAAAAGTTACATGGCAAAGGACAAAGATTAGGGAAGGTTGGAGGCCTGGAGCCTTCATTGAAAACTATGACAGAATCCAGAATGATCATGAAGGCTTTAGTAGTCTCTTTTTTCAATGTGAAATGTCTGCTAACAGTGACAGTTCTGGATATCAGAAGCCAGAAGAAGGCAAGAAATATGAGAACATTCACAAATATCACAAGAATCATTTGAAAACCACTTTATATCCAGTTTTTGCATTGGCCTAAGTCCAATCAGAAGAAAATGTCCCATCCTAGCTGGTTTGGCTCAGTGCATAGAGCACTGGCCTGAGGACTGAAGGGTCCCGGGTTCAATTTCAGTCAAGGGCACATGCCTGGGTTGTGGACTCGATTCCCAATGGAGAGCGTGCGGGAGGCAGCCAATCAATGTTGCTCTCTCATCATTGATGTTTCTCTCTCTCCCTTCCTCTCTGAAATCAATAAAAATATTTTTTTTAAAGGAAAAAAAATGTCCCATGAATCAGTTGGCCAACTTTAGATAAACGGCCTTTTTTCTTAATTGATTATTCTAATTTTCCTAAAGCGTTTCTTTTTTTTTTAGTTAAATAAACAAATTTATTTGTAAATTTAGTCAACATACATAATTTACCTAAAAACTTCAATAGAAGGATAAATTTTAAAAACCACTTGTAAGACTAGCTCTATAAAGTGATTACCCCAGGACCATATACCAGCATTTCTAATGAGATGTATTAGATATTGTAAAGATTCTGCTTGGAGGACCCCCTCCCCCCCAAAAATGAGAGCAATTTAATATCTAGAACCATTTAAAGCAACATTTTTACACTGGTCTCTTAGACTTCTTTACCTTGTGCTGTTTTATTTGCAGTTTGGACCAGGTGTTAGGGATAAATATGTTTGGAAACCTGTCTTAGTTTGGAAGCACCAATAAGGGCTAGAGATTCCGATTTAATGGAGAAATCTGGTTGAAAGCTATCCCTTTAAGCTGTTAACAAAATGTGAGCACCTCGGGGAAGGAATTCCCCTCTCTGAGCTGTGGTTCTATGTGTGAGGACAACAATGCAGCCCATACACAGTTCTAAGGCCTGGTTCACAGTGAGACCTGTATGTCAGGAAGAGGCACAGGGGCCTTACAGTGCATCTCCCCAGAGTCCCAAGCTACCACATAGGGGTCTAATGAGACAGTTCTTCCCTGACACAACATCAGAAAAAGCCACACACCACACACACACCACACTCAGATTCCCCCCAGCATCGATCCTGAGAACTCTCAAATATCACCCACTGGCAAAGACCCCGGAACTCCCAGAGTCAATTCCAAAACACAGGGCTAAACTTGGCTTTGGCATCCCCCTTACCTTTTCCATACAATCAGTACAATTAAAATGCCTGCTCCAATAAAGCCAACAGCAATCCAAGTAGCAGTAGTCCCCCAGGCATTTCCCATCTCAGATCCTGCAGAAAGAGGAGGCAAACGTTAAAAGGAAACCTATGTGCAGGGACCAAAGTGACCACACAACCACTGCTAAGATATCTGTGGTCGTGTGTCATTTCCCTGTCATAGATATAACCACCAATCCTCTGCCACACTTCTTGTCATTCCTATCACATACACCTCCACACATCAAATAGTGTGTTTAGCACCTGCCAGAAATACACGGCAATATGAACACCACCTACCACATATGTATGCCGTGCACATGTTCAAGCTTCCACACTACATCATCTTACATCACTATACACTGCTATATATCGAATATCTGTGTCCCCCCAAAATTCATATGTTGAAATCCTAATACCCAATGTGATGGTATTAGGAGGTGGGGCTTTTGGGATATCATTAGGTCATGAGGGAGGAGCCCTCGTGAATAATTAGTGCCCTTATATAAGAGGCCCTAGAGAGATTCCCTTATCCCTACCACCATGTGAGGCTACAAGAAAGCTGTGACCCAGAAGAAAGCCCTCACCCAGCGGTTTTTTTGTTTTTTGTTTTTTGTTTTAATTTTTGTAGGCTTGGAGGTAAGTGAATAGAACAACGTTTTCTATCCGGTCATCTCCCCTAGCCTGTGTTTCAATGTCCCAAAGTTTAATTAACAGAACAGGGAACTGTCCTGAACTGAACTCAACACTTTGGAAACCAGCGGTTTTTATTATATTTATTTATATTTATTTATTATAGCGGCCACAAGTCACCAACACAAATCTATTATATTATATTAATTATATTATATTATATTATATTATATTATATTATATTATATTATATTATATATATTATATTATATTATATTATATTATATTATATTATATTATATTATATTATAGAGGCCTGGTGCACAAAAATTTGTGCACTGGGCGGGGGTGTCCCTCAGCCCGACCTGTGCCCTCTTGCAGTCTGGGACCTCTCAGGGGATGTCCACCTGCTGGCTTAGGCCTGCTCCCCAGGGGGATTGGGCCTAAACTGGCAGTCAGACATCCCTCTGGCAGTCCGAGAGCCCCCTTGTGGTCAGTGTGTGTCATAGTGACGAGTCATTCCCAGTCTTTCTGCTGTTAGGGTCAGTTTGCATATTACCCTTTTACTACATAGGATAGAGGCCTGGTGCACGGGTGGGGGCCGGCTGGTTTGCCCTGAAGGGTGTCCCGGATCAGGGTGGGAGTCCCGCTTGGGTGTCTGGCCAGCCAGGTGAGGGGCTGTGGCTGTTTTCAGGCTGCCCGTACCCCCTTAAGGGTGGGGGTCCCCACTGGGGTGCCTTGCCAGCCTGGATGAGGGGCTGATGGCTGTTTTCAGGCTGCCTGCACCCCCTTTAGGGTGGGGTCCCCACTGGGTTGCCTCGCCAGTCTGGATGAGGGGCTGAGGGCCATTTTCAGGCGGGCCAAGCCTACAACAGAAGCTCCCAGTCTCTCTTTTTTTCCTTTTTTTTTTATTCTGGGATTTATTTACCTTCTGTAATTGCAACTTTGTTGGGGCTCCAGCTCCAAGGCCAGCTGGCTGAAAGCAGGTATCTGGGAATTGTTTAGCTTCTATAATTGTAACATTGCTACTTAGAGTGCAGCTCAGAGCCCAGCCGTGGCAGGCAGGGAACCATGGCTTCCTCCATCACTGGAGCAAGCAAGCCTCAGGTTTGCTTCAGCTGCCTGGCTGCCGGCCACCATCTTGGTTGGCAGTTAATTTGCAAATCACCCTGATTAGCCAATGGGAAGCATAGCAGAGGTATGGTTAATTACCAATTTGTCTATTATTAGATAGGATAGAGGCCTGGTGCATGTGTGGGGGCCGGCTGGTTTGCCCTGAAGGTGTCCCAGATCAGGGTGGGGGTCCCGCTGGGGTGCCTGGCCAGCCTGGGTGAGGGGCTGAGGGCCGTTTTCAGACTGGCCAAAACCCCAGCGGGGACCCTAACACCATGAGGTTGTGGCCAGCCTGGATGAGGGGTTGATGGCTGTTTGCAGGCTGGCCACAGCCCCTTCAGGGTGGGGGTCCTCACTGGGGTGCCTGGAAAGCCTGGGTGAGGGGCTGAGGGCCGTTTCCAGGCTGGCCACAGCCCCTTCAGGGTGGGGGTCCTGCTGGGGTGCCTGGCCAGTCTGGGTGAGGGGCTGATGGCTGTTTGCAGGCTTGCCACGGCCCCCAGCCACCCAAGCTCCCAGTGGAGGCAGGCTGGAAGCAGGTATCTGGGGTTTATTTATCTTCTATAATTGAAACTTTGTTGCTTTCAGCAGAGACCAGAGCCGGCCAGGACAGACGGGAAGCTTGACTTCCTCCATCACCGGGACAACCAAGCCTCTGTGGCTGCCAGACACCATCTTGGTTGGGTTAATTTGCATATAGTCACTCTAACTGGCTGGTGGGCGTGGCTTGTGGTGTAGTGAAGGTACAGTCAATTTGCACGTTTCTATTATATTATATTATATTATATTATATTATATTATATTATACACACAAAGCATATTTCAATTCCAAATTTCCCATGTCCCACACATTTTCTACACACACCACACTCATACACATCCCTCGCCCTTGCTTCCAAAAACAATTCCTCTCTCCCTCCAGGACCACTTGAAGCCCCATCTGGCAAAATCAATCAGCCCCTGCCTCCCTAACCCTTCTCAGCTCTAGGCAGATGCATTTGACCTGCAAGATCATCCCCACCCAGGACTAGAGCCATGACCATGGAAACTAAGATATGAGCTCAATTAACCCACCCCACCAGCAGGGGGCGTTCTGTAGTGAGCTGTATTATGTTAAGCTCAGGATCTAGTGTGCCTGGGGAAAGGCCTTGGCATTCGCAGGACTCCCTACAATGGACTCCCCAGCTTGAGCACAGAACTATTGATTCGACTTCTACCACCCAATGGTTTGCAGTGGCCCTGGAGCCTGGCCAGAAGAGTTGCTGGTAGGGTTGGGTCTCTGGCCCCTGATAGACCCTTATCCTCAGAGGGTATGGACAGGATCCTATCCCCTTTCTCCTAGTAGCTGACAAGCTTCCCATTCCAGGTCATATAGACCATCCAGCTCCTTAAGCTGCCATAAGTTACCAGCAACCCTGAGGACGCTTGTCACCACTCTCTAGCTATTAGGCGATCCACCCGGGCTTAGGGACCTAGCCTGGACTGCTGACTCTGAGGCTGAAGTAGGGCAAACCAAGCTTTCTATCCTTCCCCATTGGCCCCCATTTTGGCCTAGACTAACTGGGAACCTGAGTGTTATGTTATACCCCTTCAAGGTGAAGAGTAAGGTTAACGTTTAGAGGATGCTTACCTCTCCCAGACAGGGTGAAGTTCGACCTCCTGGAGGTGGGCAAGGATATGTGACTTATCACACATTGGTAGGTGGTCACATTGTGTTCCAGAGTTTGGTTCAGCCTCAAACGGCTGGTGATGTTAAATGTGCCGTCCTCATTCTTGATGGCTGGACCATTGGTGATGCCTTCAGAAATCTCCTGGCCCTGGGGATTCTCCTGGGTATATATATACCATGTGATGTTAATGTCTTTTGGGTAGAACCCACTTGCCTCACACAAAATATATTTGTCGCCATCATCTTTCGGTGTGGCTTGTTCTCGAAACAAGGTGCACTTTGGAGAAGCTGCCAAGGAAGAGAAGTCATGATTTGAGGGTAGGTTGGTACTAGCTTATTGTCAGTTCAAAGCCTGACCCATAGCAAGCCTTCAGGAAGGGTGAATGAGGTGAGTGAGATTCTGCTTAGCCTAAGTAATCTGGGGATGCTGATCCCAGGGCGAGTGTGATGCTGATAGACCATAACCCAGGGGTGGGCAAACTTTTTGACTCAAGGGCCACAATGGGTTCTTAAACTGGACTGGAGGCCGGAACAAAAGCATGGATGGAGTGTTTGTGTGAATAATATAAATTCAAAGTAAACATAATTACATAAAAGGGTACGGTCTTTTTTTTTTTTTTTTTAGTTTTATTCATTTCAAACGGGCCGGATCCGGCCCGCGGGCCGTAGTTTGCCCACGGCTGCCATAACCCCAACTCTCACAGCCATTGTGTAAAGCAGAGTTTCTTATGCCACTTGGTGTCATAGACACCTTTGAGAATCGGAGGAAAGCTTCGGAACACTGTTGTGGTAGAAACTGCTGTCCATCCTTCAATGACACATCCAAGTTAAAGCTACATCTCCCAACCTCCACTTCAGCTGGTGAGCTCAGGGTCTACTAGTTCGGATAGAATCAGAAGTAGTGAGAGCAACCTCAAGGAAGTACCCTTAAAGAACAAGGGTATCTTAAGGGTATCTTATAGCCTTCTCTCCCTCTCCCCTTCATCCTTCCTGGAGAACAGCTGGAAGACCATGTCATGGTTCAAGATGGAGAGGCCATTTCCAAACACAAGGTGAAAGCTATATGTTGAGGATGCCAAAGTGGCAAGATAAAAGGAGTCTGGCTCCCAGATGATCAACGAACAGCCCTACCTGCCCAGGGTTGGCTCCATTTTTGGGAAAGAAAAATAAACTACCTTTTTAAAAGCCCCTGTTGCTCTGGCCAGTGTGGCTCAGTTGGGTGAGTGTCATCCCATGACCAAGAGATGGCCGAGTTGATTCTCAGTCAAGACACATGCCCTGGTTGCAGGCTCCATCTCCAGTAGGGGGTATGCAGGAGGCAGCCAGTCAATGTTTCCCAAACATCAATGATTCTCTCCCTCTCCATCTCCCTTCCTCTGTCTCTAACATCAAGAAAAACATATTTTTAAATTAATTAATTTAATTAAAAATAATAAAAGCCCTTGCTGACTTCTGGTTTCCTCTCTGGCATGTAAGGAACTAGAAGTCATCACTCCTATCCTGAACTGAACAAACTGCAAATCAACAACTTCTCTTCGATCCATCAGAGAACTGAGGTGACAGGGCAAACCACAACCCTGAAAGCTAGAGAGACAGGCAGATTGAGAGAACCAAAGCCAAAATCATATTACCATAAGCAGAAGGTGCTGGAGTTATAACTGACAAATGGCTAAAAGGCTGAAGGTGGATTAGCTGGAGGCCAGTCTTAGGAGGTTTTTCTGGGTTTTACCTCCAGGAACCCTCTCTTCCCACTCTCCCCCTCTCCCTTAGGTTCCTGCAGTTGCAAGAAAAATTCCCTCCTGTTTGGGGGAGAGGGGAGAGGAAAAGTTACCATTTAAAAATATACCCAATGCCGGAAGATGGCGACGGTATAGGCAGACGCGTCCCAGGTCGTGTCCCTGAGCAAATGGAGTGAGCAGCTGAAACTAGTAACATCCACCCCGAATTGGCGAAATTCCTCAGCTGGCGAGACGGTTTACAGCCGGGAAGAGCAGAACTCCCCTGGAAAGGTAAAAAAACCAGGGATTTGGGCAGGAAAGTTTGCCAGACCTCTGAGCCCAGAGAGTCGGAGGGAGACCGCGTGGCAGACAGCCGCGTCCCTTGGGACAGGCACAGCCCCTGACGGGGGAAAGGAGAACCGCGGGATTCCTGGCGCTGCCGGGGGAATTGAGAGCTGGGTCTGTGATCACAGAGGACTGAGCCTAAAGGGGGCAGCCTGAAGAGCTGACCAGACCATGCAGTCCCGGTAAGAGAAGAAGCTTACAGAAACCAAGCCTTCCCCGTTTCCGCGGCCGGCGTTGTTTGTTTGTTTTCACTGAACCCTGTTCATGGGACATTTCGGATACAGACACTCACCTGTGCTGAAGAGAGGGAGAGTGTGCGGAGGAGTGGAATCTGGGGAGAGACTGAGGAGAGAAGGGGGGCCGGGAGAGGTGACAGCGAATTGAGTGCTGAGTCACCCCTGAGCCCAGGTCTGAGGCAGCCATTCTCTCCGGAGAGTGAGACTCCTCCCCCCAGCCCCCAGGCAAGGCGCACAGCCACACCCAGATTCCACCCTGTAGGAGATCAAGGATTAAAATAACCTGATCAGTCCCTGGGAGTTAACAGGGTCTGGCCTATAGAGGGATTTTCAATCCCAGCAACAACACAGCACTGGTAACTCTTACGCAGCCAGCTCTGGGCAGTGAACTTCCACTGGACAGAGAGGCCCTGTAGCCTCAGAGGCCAACCCCAGAACACTGCCACCCAGAGGCTGACCCACAAACTGACTCTTTGCTAAACACAAAATAAGGCAGTCTGGGAAACAAATGCGGCTTGCTTTAAAATAAGGACTGTGGTTTACAACACAGAGGAACAGTGTATCGCAGGGAAACTCAACACTCTCCTGAATACCTGGCAGGTCTAAGGCGAGCCACACTGAAGAATAGAAGAACCGAAGGACCTTCACTACTGCAATATTTTTTTTTTTTCTTTTTTCACCTTTTAACTAAGAAACAAATTTTTTTCTTTTTTTTTTTTTTTTTTTATTTTCCCCTTCTTCTTTTTTTTTTTCTTTCTTCTTTTTTCCATCACCTGATTTTACCCTTTTAATTACTACCTTCTTATTTTTAACCAGTATTATTACTGCTACCATTTTACCATTTTTTTTAAAGTGCCATTTTATTTTCTCTTTATTTTATTTTGGGATTAGTGTTCTCCATTCTATTTTCATCGTTATATTATTGGTTGTTTCTAGTTTGCATTCATCTCCAGGGAGCTGTTGCTGGAATTTGTTGGGATTAATGGCTGTTCTATAGGAGTATTCTCCTCATATAAAAAGTCTCTTCCCCTCTTCCACTTCATTCTCTCTTTTTGCTCTTTTTTTTTCTTTTCCTTTCTTTTCTCGCTTTTACTTTCCCCCCTCCTTTTTCCCAATTTCATTTTTGCACTCCTTTTTTTGGTCCCTAATTTTCTTTTCTTTTTTCTCTTTTCTCTTTTTCTCTTCCTTCTTCCTTATCCCCTAATTCTCTCAATTCAGGTGGTCACCTTTATTTGGGGTTATTAATATCGTGAATATATTTGTGTATAGTGCCTGGTACGTGGTGCCTTGTTGTGTTGTATTTTGTGCCTTTAAATCAACACAGCAGATCCAAGCAACAGCAACCTCCTGAGCACCACACCCTCTGCTGAGGAACAGCAGCTGTACATGAAACCTCGCCCCACCAGCCAGAAGAGCCACCACAGCTGTGAACAGCACCCACCAGAGGAGTTGCTGCCAACTGAAGAGCAGCTGCTACCGCAACCGCCCGAAGAGGAACCGCAGACCAAGGAGTCACTGCCACCAAGGGAGCAGCCACTGAATGACTCAACGTCTAGATATGTCAGTGAGATCAAACATGGGTAGACAAAGAAACCCCCAAAGGAAAGAGAAGGAGGACTCTCCAGAAAAGCAGCTAAGTAATACAGAGGCATGCAACATGACAGAAAAAGAATTCAGAATAAGGGTCCTAGAATGCATAAACCGGATGGAGGAAAAAATCGACAACCTCAGCAAGAAGCAAGAAGAAACAGATGAAAAAATCGATAACATATGGAAGAAGCTAGAAGAAACAGATGAAAAAATCGATAACATATGGAAGAAGCTAGAAGAAACAGATGAAAAAATCAACAACTTAAGTAAGACCCAAGAAGATATGAAGAGTGATATAGCTGCAATGAAAAACTCCATTGAAAGTATCAACAGTAGACTAGGAGAAGCGGAGGACCGAATTAGTGATTTAGAAGACAAGGAAGCAAAACACACCCAAAACGTACTGCAATTGGAGAAAAAAATGAAAAGACAGGAGGAGAGCCTAAGGGAGCTTTGGGACAACATGAAACGAAACAACATACGAATAATAGGGGTACCAGAACAACAGAAGGATGAACAAGGATTAGAAAACCTATTAGAAGAAATAATATCAGAAAACTTCCCTGAGGTGGGGAACAAAAAAGTCACACAAGCCCAGAGAGTCCCAAACAAGGTGAACCCAAAAAGACCCACACCAAGACACATCATAATTACCATGGCAAATGTACAGGACAAAGAGAGAATCTTACAGGCTGCAAGAGAGAGACGGAAAGTTACATACAAGGGATCTCCCATTAGATTGTCAAATGATTTCTCAACAGAAACACATCAGGCCAGAAAAGAATGGACGGAAATTTACAAAGTGATGCAAAGCAAAGGACTGAATCCAAGAATACTCTATCCAGCAAGGCTATCATTCAAACTTGAAGGGGAAATAAGAAGCTTCACAGACAAAAAAAGGCTAAGGGAGTTTATCACCACCAAGCCAGCAATGCAAGGAATGCTAAAGGGACTGGTATAAAAATAAGAAATAAAAAGCTCAGAAAGAAAACAGCCACACAAAAACAGAAATGCCTACAAACAAGTACCTTTCAATAATAACTTTAAACGTAAACGGACTAAATGCTCCAAACAAAAGACATCGAGTGGCTGAATGGATAAAAAAACATGACCCATACATCTGCTGTCTACAAGAAACCCACCTCATTAGAAGGGACTCACACAGACTGAAAGTGAAAGGATGGAAAAATATCTTTCAGGCAAATGGAAAGGAAAAGAAAGTTGGGGTAGCAATACTTATATCGGACAAAATAGACCTCAAAGTGAAGGCCATAACAAGAGATAAGGAAGGCCACTTCATAATACTAAAGGGATCAATACAACAAGAAGATATAATCCTGGTAAACATATATGCACCCAATGCAGGAGCACCCAAATTCATAAAAAAACTCCTGGAAGATATCAAAGGAGACATCGACAACAATACAATCATAGTTGGGGACTTTAATACACCACTGACAGCACTGGATAAGTCCTCTAGACAAATAATCAGCAAAGATACAGCAATCCTAAATGACTCACTAGATCAGATGGACTTAATAGACATCTTCAGAACACTTCACCCGAAAGCC